CATCACTGGCATCTGTGGAGCTTTTTGATCTTCAAGAAAGCTAGCAAAGGAATTTTCCTTCTTTATTCTTTCCAATAATTCTGTCTCCTCATTGGAAGTGGTTTTTTTGGTCCCATTTGGCTATGGCCCATTTAGATGGTTCCAAGCATGACTGCCAGAACTGTATCTTTCTTATTTATGACCATACTCAAAACATCTAAGTTGGGCATGATACACAGCATACCCAAGAAATGGTAATTAAACCAGTTAATATAGTTATTCTTTGTTTTCTTTTTGTTCTTCCTGTTCCTGGCATATAGTTGGTACTTAATAAATGCTTGCTGGTAAATAAACATATGTAATAGCTATAAATATTTTACATGACTATAAATATTTGTACTTTCTAGAACCAGACAAAAGCATCTGAGGCAAACTCTGAAATTGCCCTTTGCAAGTAAACAGCAAACAAATTGTATACAATATGTGTGTGAAAAAGTCAGAGGCCTCCCACCCGCAGGCCCAGATGATATTAAGATGATGCTTTTAATATCACTGCCCATAAACCAAACATAAAGGATCTTCAAAAATCAAATGCTAGTTGTTTAAGTATGTTGATTGCAGAGAGATGCATGTAGACATGGAAATAAAGGAGGATATAAAACGACAACAAAACTTGCATAAAATTGGTCTCTCATTCATGCATTTAACTATCTAATTCACAAGCTTTAATGTTCCAGCCAAACAGATGTACTAAGTTTATCTCTATAATGGACCATACTGCTTTTGCACAGTTGGATTCCCTGAGCTATTTTTCCAGAATGCTTTGAAGTTACAGACTTTTTAAAAAATCAGAATTAGTAAACAACTGGCATATATTTAACATTTTTCTTTTAGCTGTCCCTAAACTCTTTTTTCAGAAAATTTTCCGATAATACATGAAATGCTTTTTATCCCTATTCAATCTGGTCTAGTGGCTCAATAAAGATGGTAATTCTGAATAACAGCTGCACTTCTTAAAAAGACTGTATTTTTATTGAAAATTATCACTAATTTTAACTCCATTGCCTGTGCATGGACACTGTCATTGACTGATTCTTTTTTTTCATAGGGCTTAGGAGCTTTTTCTTAATTTATGTTTGATCAAAATGTAAAGATGCTTTCTGTATCTTTTAACAAATTCACCTTTTCATTGTTAGGAAGTGGAAGAATGGCAGCATTTCAAAGATGAAGTAGTTAATCATATGCAATTCAGCAGTATCCATCACTAGGAATTTGTATTAATGTACAATCAACCTACAGGCCGTACAATTCATTTAAAGGCCCAGTTGGGATGGAAAAGTGCTTAACATATTTATAACTTTTGATATCTGTGTCATGTTTACACACGAGAAAATCATGCTAACCATATGGGTAATTTTACTTTTCTTTTTCTCTTAGATGTGCTCCAAAAATTAATTTGGCTACCTGGAGGCAGAGTTCAGAAAGCATGTCAACATCCTCAAAAATAAAGCTTCAACAAATCTGATACCTTATTTATAAGTTCCTCATCTTAGCTGCTTAATAAAATACACCAGTAGAGACATTCTGAGTAACTGCCTGTTAGGTTTCGTGAATTTAGATCATTGGGGAACAGATTATAATCTAATAAGCACAACATTGCAGTTAACTCCATGCTTTGTTTAGTTAACTATTTAGCATGTATTTATTCATTTAGTTGATCACTTTGCATTTATCAAACACTTAATATGTACAAGACACTGAACTGTAGGTAAAGGGACTATAACCATAAGACACTGTTTTATGTTCAAAGGACTCAGATGGAGACAAATGAAGAAAAGGCAATGACATAATAGTTTATAAGTGTTACGATAAATATATCTTCAGAAGCTTAGAAGATGGTTCCTAATCCCAGCAAATATTTCCTAAAAGAAGTGAGATCAAAACAAGAATTAGAGGATGCATAGCAACTTGCCATATGAAAGCAGAGTAAGAATAGAGATTAAGCAGTTTAGTAATAAAGGCATTTTAGGAATTGAAAGGAGCAGAAGCAATGGCAGAGAGTCATGACACAGTCTTGTATTCAAGGGACAAAAGCCATTTGGAGTAACTGAACAATTAAATGTGAGGCATGAACGGTAAGAGATGAGAATTGAGCCCTGGACAGGAGCCCAATGGTGGAATATTGTTCATGTTCCAAGTAACTCAGACTTTTAAACTGTGAGCATTGAGGAGCCAAGAAAATATTTAAAGAATGAGAATTATGTGTTTAGCTCTCCCTGATAGAAATAACTTGGATATATATGCAAGTATGTGGAGCATATGTTGGCAGGGGACAAGATTGAAAAAAGAAAGACCTGTTAACAACATTCCTGTAGTTCAGATGAGAAATGAAGTAGGCTTAATCTAGGTAGGAGTGTGGGCTTAATCTGTCTAGGTGAGACAAGATTTCCACTTCTAGAAATATTTAGAAGGTAAAATTCACAGGACCTAACTGTGGTTGGATAGAAGGGATAGAAGGAAGAAGAAATCAAACTGTTTTCAGAGTTTCTAACCTGTATATCTGAGTGGCTAGCAATGCATCAGCTGGAAGAGAATATGAGAAGCTACAAAGCTTTAAAGTGTAAAATAAATTCAATGTTTGACATGTTGGAATTCATGGTGCTTTTGCTATATCCAGAGAGTGGTCTAGTGAGCAGCTGGATATACAAAACTAAAATTAAAGAATGGGTGATGTAGATTTGGGGGGGGTCAACTGAATATTGGTGGTTATTAAGCCATGTACAGAAAATTGGGTGGATTGGGAAGAAGTGAGATGAAAACAAAGGTTAATTACATCTAACTATACTAACCTTTATTTTTAGCCTGTGCTCATACCTATTAACATCTCCTAGCTATTTGTCCTCATTTACTGACAACTTTGGCACATGGCTCATTTTCTTTCTCTCCAATCTGAGTTGACCGTCATTGCAGATGGTTCATCTAATCCTCTGGGCTCTCAGTTCCTTGATCAGCTTTGAAGTCCCTCACCAACTCTTAACTTCAGGAATCCATAAATACAAACTTCAAACTCCCTCACACTGATATTTCCACTTTTGTTTTTTGGTCTCATCAAGAACTCTATTCTCTCCTACTACTACTCTATTACTTTCCAGTCATACTCTTACTGCATTCTTATTATTGGTCTTTCTATTTTTTTTTTTTTATTGCTTCATGTACCCTAGGAGCTACCATTTTAACCATTATCTTGCAAATAATCTAAAATCATTTGCCTTTTTATCCTTTTTCCATGTGCCTGACTATCCACAGCTGAGTATGATTTGTTTTTATTTTTTATTTATGTGGTAAGCAATTATGTGACCCTTATATAAGTTATTTTATCTAAGAACTTCATAATTTTTAGCCACTTTAATTTTTATAACAAAGTTATGAGACAGGCACAACCAGGATGTTCCCTACAAGAGGAACTCACGCCATCATACAAGTTTGTGATCCCCAACCTGGACTCTAACATTTTTCTGTTTCATTGACTCTTTTTTCTCTTTTTGGAATGCTCTTTATGGAGAAATTAACTACCATTCTGTGAGAAAGGCCAAACTATCCCATGAAGAGAGACCATAAAAGAAAACTGAAGCTACCAGCCCTCAGCCAGCATCAGGCACCAGACATGTAAGTGAAATGCACAAGCCTTCAGACGAGTTCATTTTCAGACTTTGAGTTGTCTAGTTGAGTCCTCAGACATCACTGAGTAAAGACAAGCCATCCTCCCTATGTCTTGTCTAAACTTCTGACCCACAGAACTGGTAGGTTTTGGAGGATCTGGTAATGCAGCTACAGTCACTGGAATACTACCAATAACAAGTTTATTGCTAAATCCAGTAAGTATCTTTCAAGTCTTAATTTTACTTGATTTTTTGAAATGTTTAACATCTTTGGCCAAACCCGCCATCTTTAAATATTGTCTTTATTTGGTATGTATACCACTGCATGCTATACATGGTACTTGCGTCTTTCTTATTACTCTTTGTCAGTTAGCACTGAAAGCTCCTCTAGCCCATTCCTTTTCTTAGGGCTCTCTTCTAGGCCCTCTCTGGGCCAGTGGTCTCACGCAGGAGTATGCAGTTGAGAACAACTACTCAAATTTAATGGAAGATCTAATAGCAAGTGTGAATAAAAAATAAGATGCTATTGAAATTTATAAATATTAAAGCAAAAGTGTCATGTATCTCCATTATGACACATATTTCTCCTCCTTATTATATGTGATAGGTTTGTAAGAAACTATCGATCCCCTAAGTATTTTATTATTTCATTCTGCATAATGGCCGTAGTCTCAAATAAGGAGTTCAGTAAGTATTATTCTATTCTAAAATGGTGGGAGTCATAGAAATAACTGGACAACTTTAAAGAGTAGGGCAGATTAAATATTGAATAACAAAACAAAGACATTCTTTAGAATACCATGACATTGTAAGTTAAATCATTGGTAAAGATTAAATATTAAGATGAAAGATAAGACAAAATTTCTTATCAGAATCTTAAATGAATCGAAGTTTTTTCACCACCATTGAATATTTTTAATACATTAAATAATGTCTCTGAACAAAGAACCAGTCCCAACATGTCTTATATATGTAAATAATTAGACAGTGTCTGCTCTGGTTGTAAGTTGTTTCATCCTAGTAAGGTTATTTCTCAGAATGTCAGAGAAAGGAAAAAAAAAAAAAATTAGGGGGGGGAGGAGGGGAAATCTGATCTTGAGTTTCTTGTGAACCTTACCTCTGACATTCATTTTTGGCTTTGTTGATGAAATTGAACCTACATCAAAAGGTAATGAACCATTTTTGTGGGAAACCTGCTGTGTTTGAGATCCTCTAGGAAAGAGTAGGAAATGTTCTTTTCTAAGCATTGCTGTGAAGACCCTTTAGAACACTTATTGATGTCAGATATAGAACATTCTTAACTGATTCATGGCATTTGAAACATATTCCTTTTTCAGACTAAAATGTATTCTTTCTCCTTACCTTGTTGTACAAAGGATCCATACACAAACCACATGGAGTTGTAGAGAGTAGTAGAAGTCATTGATCCCATTTGTAATCGTGGGGGATTAAGCCAATTCAGGAGGTAGACCAGAAGACCCACCAGAAGAACAGTGCCAGCAATGCAAGCCCAGAGAGAGAGATCAAATGGTGCAAGACAGGCAAACATGTCCACTGTCTTTTCAGCCCTTCGCAGTAGTACTCCCACTGAGTAGTCCATATAGCGTGTTGTAAAGTCCACCACATTCTCACGATCTGGGGTGATGGTTAAAGCAGAAATCCCTATGTCGGCTCTCTGAGAAATTGAAAGAGAAAATATTAAATTAACAATGTGAAAAACAACTTGATTTGTGGTGCTTCAGCTTGCTTTAAGGAAAAGAAAACAATGCCTCAGGCAACATCTTTAGTCTTTTTATATAAACTGAAAAACACGGCAGAGATTTCTTAGAGGCAAACTCTGTGTGAATTTTGCATTTCTCACTGCAAATCTTGCCCGACCAGAGTCAGATAAATTACCTTGTTCATATTATCAGTGCATGTGAAATCAGTGAAGAATATTTCAGACACAGATAACACCTGAAGGAAATTGTCTTTTTTCCTTGGGTCATTTTATCAAAGCCATCATTAACACAGTAGCAAAGGCAAAACTTATTCTAAAGAATTCTTTCTGAGAAAATGTTCCCAAGATACTTAATTATATTCTTAACATGTAAATTCTTAGGCAGGTAAATTAAAAAAAAAAAAAAAAAAAGCTCAACATAGCATTTTACTCTTGGTTTAGATTTCTCTGCATCAGAATTTATATATTTTTTAAAAGATTTTATCTATTTATTTGACAAAGAGAGAGAGAGAGAGAGAGCACAAGCAGGGGGAGTGGCAGGCAGAGGGAGAGGGAGAAGCAGGTTCCCCGCTGGGCAAGGAGCCTGATGTGGGGCTCCATCCCAGGACCCTGGGATCATGACCTGAGCCGAAGGCAGACACTTAACCAACTGAGCCACCAAGGCACCCCCAGAATTTATATTATTAAGCTCTAAATATATTAGTTTGTTAGAACTTTCATATAGCACTAAGTTATAATGTCATTTGCCAAAAGTCTCTACCATGATTTTTATTGTATAAACCTCAGAAATGTTTTAATGAAAAATTAAAGATTAAGGATACCTAATTTTTCTTGGACAACCCTTCTTTTCAATGTGTATCTCTTTAGATTCTCAGTGCTAGCACTCAAAACTACAGTACATGCTATTTTACTTATTTGAAGCACTTAGCAGAATTGCAGTGAGATCACAGAACAAATGAATTACATTTCAATTCCATGATATGAGAACACACATTTAAATATCTAAAAGATGTATTTTGTTTGAAATAATAACCCATGGCTATGATTAAAGCTGTGGGAAGCTCCTTCCAGACAAATACAAATAATAGTAAATTGTTTGTTGAACATTTTTGTTATTATTTTTCTTTCTTTTGCATTGTTTTATGAAGGAGTATAGAAACTGGTTTTATTGCTTTTGGAGACCAAAACAAACAAACAAGCAAAAACAAAAACACAAAAACATGAAAAGTAACATACCTAATAGAGTGCTAAACCAGTTCAAATAAATCTAGTCTCTGAAGTAATAATGGCCTCAAAACTATTCTAAGCTACATTTAAACTTTATGTGTGTTTGTGCGTGTATATATGTTTATATTTATACATATATATCAGCCCATATATATTTGCTGCTAGGCCCAGTACTAAGTAGTTAAATAAATTTTCTTATTTAACCCTTACAATACATCATGAAATACGTGTTTTCCCCTCGATTTCATAGATGGAACAACTACAAGAATTAAGTAACTCATTTAGTTCTCATAGTTGATAAGCACAGAAGCCAGTATCAAAGCTTGGTTTTTCTTACTCCAAACCTGTCCTCATAACCACTGACCCTATTGCAAAAAATCCTTCGTTTTCCAAGTAACCCATATAGTAGGTGGTTGAGATAACTAGTTTTAGGACAGTTTTTACCTTAAAAGAGTCTAAAATTTTGTGGGGTTTTTTATTACGCTATTTACAATGCAACAAGGCCATATTAGTATAAACACCATGAGTTTATAAATTATTAATGGAGAGGTATTAAATTTAATAACACTACATGAAAATGAACTTTCAGAGAAATAATTATTATTGCTTTCAAGCTCATGTATTTATTTTCTGTAGCTAGATATTAGGAATTAGGTCTTTTCACCTGGATCCTTACCTCTCTAGTTCTATCTTTTCTGAGCTTCAGTTTACCCATTTGTGAAATGAATGTACCTAAGTTTAGTGTGATTATTGTGAGTTGACTCATTTATCTTAATCCAATGGCGAATACAAATCTCTCCAAGATTCAATTAGGCTTTCAGAAGTTGCCTTTACTTTTTCAGGACATTACAGTACAATGGATCAGTAATTTAGTAATTGATGCACTAGTGACCCAAAACATTTATGACTCAATTAAAATCAGAAAATTTCACCCAAGGAAGAACTTACTGACAAGTTGACTGAATATTTGTAAATGTTCATCAATATTTTGCTGATAAATAATTGAATGTTTAACACCTAATTAATGACTGTGAATTGGAATAGTCATACACTAATTCTACTAATAGATACTTACAAGTATCATGAAGCGAATTTCTATAATGGAAAAATGATATCTAGGGAATGATGTGTGCTTTCTTTTTGGAAAAGGAAACTGATTATATTGCATGTGCTAAAATATTTATCAAATATAATAATTACTTGTCATTTTTCTATGGAGAACTTCCTAAATTCTGGTCCACTTTTAACACTTGGCTATTCTGTTTTCAAGGAGAAATTCCCAGTCTCCCTGTGGAGGGCATATCAGAATCATTTAATGGCCTTTTCAAACTGCACAAATACATTTATGTACAGACACAATAGAAACAATATGTACACATTTTCCTATCTTTGAGATTTGTATATACCTTCCTAAGGAAGTACCTCACCCTCTTCTTCAGAATCAATAAGACAGCAGATCATTGTGCTTGATATGAATATGTGATAGTCCTTACTTGTATGAGAGAAGTTTTACTGGAGCAGAAGAAAAAAAAAAAAAAGCCAAGAATCACTGATTCATAAAGATAGCCCAAAAACTTCTTGAACATTTCCAAAATACCAAAAATGATCAGAAACAAATGATCATTCCTACTCTCCCTCTCCTTCACTGCCTTTCTTCCTTTCGTCTTTTTTCTTTTTCTTTCTTTCTCTCTTTCTTTCTTTCTTTCTTCTTTCTTTCTTTTTCTTTCCTTCTTCCCTTTCCTTCCTTCCTTCCTTATCATTTATCTATTTACACATACATGTCAATTCACTTGTCCAGTTTCTACTTCTCAAATCTTTACCCTCATGAAACATTTAATCTTCTCAGTACTCCCTGCCCCCACTCTTGGAAGATGACCTTCGCTGCTATTTTATAAGGAACATAGAAGATATCAGATTAAAATTCAGGCTTATTTCTATCTCTCAACCTATATCCCACACCCAACCTATTCTATTTAACCTCTGTTTACAATGGAGAGCTGTCTTCCTTCCTAAAACCAACCCTCCATCAGTGAACTTATCAACCAATTCCCTCTTTCAATTATTTAAACTCTTGTCTTTTATGTATTAAACATCATCCTGTCAACTGTAAATTTCCCATGAAAAGATTTGTAACTCCTTTGATTAAAATAAAAACAAAAACAGAAAAGCCTGTCCTTTTCTCCATAACTTCTGAATCTGTTATTATCCTTTCTCTCCCCCTTTTTCACAATTTTCTCTAAAGATTTGTCTCTATTTCCAAACCTCCTAGTAAGCCTGGGAAGATTCTTTTGTACCTATATTGTTAAGTACTCTATTACTCAATGGACACAGCACCTCTTAATTTTTGCATTGCTGAGTCAAGTGGACACAACTTAGTGCTCATCTCTTTAGGTTTCTTGACATTTGACAGTGATGACTGCTCTCTCCATCATAAACACTCTTTTCATTGGATTTCATGACGTGATATAAGCTTCTTTTTCAGTTCTTTTACCAAGCTCATGTTGGCAATACTCTGGACTTGGGCCTTACAGACTTTTATCATTCGAGATCTCTGCCAAGGCAACCCCATTTATATCTATTACTTCCATCGTCCCCATTCATGCATTAGATTTACAAATTTATATTTCTAGATATGTATCTGAGCTCTGGAGTCCAGACTGATTTATGTAACTACATTTCTATCAGACGTCTCAAAAATACCTCAGATTTACCATGGCCAAGACCATATTCATGTGTTTGACTCTAACCAATCCTCCACCAAAGTCTCCTGCTTCAATGAATATCTTTTCACATAAGTCTTAAATCTTGATGGTCTCATTATCTTTTCAATCTTATGCCTCCTATCCTGTCTGTCACTGTTGATTCTACCACCTGGGAATCCTAATATCCATTCACTTCTCTACTATTTCCAGCTCTCACCATTGCTTTTATGGGCTCATTGTGAGTCTACCTAAACTCTACCATTTTTCTTCTCTTAATCTCCCTATTGCAGTCAAAATAATTTTTCTGGAGAGCAAATCTAATCCTGTCTCCTGTCACAGTTTAAAGGTTCTCAATGGATTTGCATTGCTCTTAGGAAAAAGATTAAACTCTTTAACATAGCCTATCCATCTTTAGATAGACTATCCTCAGCCGACCTCAACATATACATGCTGGGCCATTTTCTTTTCCAGAACTTCTTCCTGATGCATGGTCTTTGTACGTGCTATTCCCACCGAATGGATTGGTCTTCCTGAAAGTTCTTCAAGTAAATTCTTGTTCATTTTCATAAATCAGCTCAATTATCACTTCCTCAGGATAGGTATCCATGACCCCCTTTGATTAGAATAATAATTCTTGTTATTTATACTATCAGAGCTCTATATCCCTCACTTCTCTAGTAGTTGTAGCAGTTGTCATTTTATAAATATTTGTGTGATTCTTTGAATAATGTCTGGGTTTTCTATGAGACCACAAGCTCCATGAAGGTAAAGATTATGACTTTTTTCTTTTAATTTGACATATTCTTAGTATCTACCACATTTGTCTCTCATAGATTCATGATCAATAAAAATTTGCTTCATATATGAATAAAGATGGAACATTCACTGGGTTCTCATTATTTAATTCTTATAAATCTCTTCTATTCTTCAGCATTTCTGACAGAGAGATTTTTACAGAATAAAAAGAAAATGGTAATATAAAAATTTACTAAGTCTCATACACTGATAAAAGATTTATATCTTAAT